GGGCTCCGCTGGGGGGAACGGGGTAGCCGACCTGGCGCTGGACCTCGGGCGGCTGCCGGGGCGCCGGCTGCGGGTGGTGTCCGGCGGCAACAAGAAGTACTTCGGGGTGGATCTGACGAGCGGCGCGCTGCTGGTGAGCGAGCGGATAGACCGGGAGGAGCTCTGCGGCGCGCTCTCTCCCTGCTCCCTCAGCTTTGAGATCGTGGTGGAAAACCCGCTGGAGCTGTACAGCGGCGCCGTGGAGATCCAGGACATCAATGACAACGACCCGGTTTTTCCCAGCAGCCAGGCGAGGCTGGAAATCAGCGAGTCAGTGGCGGGCGGGGGCCGGCGCCCCCCGCGAGAGCGCGCAAGACCCCGATGTGGGGGTTAACTCTTTGCAGACCTACCAGCTCAGCGCCAACCCGCACTTTGCGCTCGACGTGCAGACGAGGGTGGATGGCAGCAAGTACGCGGAGCTGGTGCTAGAGAAGGAGCTGGACAGGGAGGAGCAACGGGAGCTGCACTTGGTCTTGACCGCGCTGGATGGAGGCAGCCCGCCGCGGTCGGCCCACGTGCAGATCCACATTGATGTTGTGGACGCCAATGATAACGCCCCGGTCTTCAACCAGTCCGCCTACAAGGCAAGCGTGAGGGAGAACACGCCCAGTGGTACCCTGGTCGCCAGGATCAGTGCATACGATCTGGATGATGGGCCCAACGGAGACATCGTCTATTCCTTCAGCAGCCACACACCTGCCAAGGTACGAGAACTCTTTGCTCTGGACTCAGCCACGGGGGAGTTGAGGGTCAAGGGACAGCTGGACTATGAGGAAACGAAGCTGTATGAGATTTACTTACAGGCGAAAGACAAGGGCGCTGTTCCTGGCATGGCTCATTGCAAAGTGCTGGTGGAAGTTGTGGATGTGAACGACAATGCTCCAGAGGTGACAGTGACTTCTGTGTACAGCCCCGTGCCTGAAGATGCAGCCCCAGGGACGGTCGTAGCTCTGCTGAGTGTAACGGACTTGGACTCCCATGATAACGGTCTGGTGAACTGCTTCATTTCTCCTGGGATCCCGTTCATGCTCAGCTCCTCCCTCAAAAATTACTACACATTGAAAACAAAAGCAGCTCTGGACCGGGAAAAGGCATCAGAGTATAACATCACTATCACAGCTAGGGACTCGGGCTCACCACCATTGTCTGCAGTAAAACAGATCCTGGTGCAGGTGTCAGATGTCAATGACAATGCACCCAAGTCTTCCCAGGACTCCTATGATGTCTACGTGCTGGAGAACAACGTGCCTGGCATCCCCATCCTTAACGTGAGCGCCACAGACCCGGACCTTGGGCGCAACGCCCATCTCTCCTATACCCTCTTGCAGGGTGACCCCACTGTAGGCCACATCTTCTCCATCAACCGGGAGAATGGCACCCTCTACCTGCTCACCTCCCTGGACCACGAGGACCAGGTGGAGTTCAGCATGATGGTGCAGGTCCAGGACGGTGGCTCTCCACCTCTGGCCACTAATGTCTCTGTCAGTGTGTTTGTCACTGACCTCAATGACAATGCCCCAACCGTGCTGTACCCTCACCCCAACACCACTGCCACCTATACTGATGTGGTGGCACCAGGCACCCCTGCCGGGCACATGATCACCAAGGTGGTGGCGGTGGATGCGGATGCAGGGTACAATGCCTGGATCTCCTATACCCTGTTGCAGGCCACTGACCCCAGCCTCTTCTCAGTTGGGCTGCACAGTGGGGAGATCTTCACGGCCC